ACAGGGTGTTGTCCATGAACAGCCTACCCTATATCAGTCTACATGACCACACCCTACCCTATACCAGTCTACATGACCACACCCTACCCTATACCAGTCTACATGACCACACCGCTACCCTATACCAGTCTACATGACCACACCTCTAGCCCTATACCAGTCTACACAACCACACCATACCCTATACAAGTCTACATGATCACACTCTACCCTATACATTGTACCAGTCTACATGACCACACCCTACCCTATACAAGTCTACATGATCACACCATGGAAGGTATTAACGAATGATCACACTCTACCCTATACCAGTCTACATGACCACACCCTACCCTATACCAGTCTACACAACCACACCCTATCCTACCCTATAGCACAATTTAACTTCAAAAATTACAATATACACAAATGAAAAAAAATACTGAACAGTTTAGAAATGGACAGTATAAATACACATAATGTGCTTTTATAATCCCATACATGTACTGAACAAATGCAACGTACATGTACAGACCCTGGGGTACTAGTTATTGAAGCCGGTGACCGCCCTATGTTCCGAAATCCCTATGTTCCGAAAGCCCTATGTTCCGAAATCCAATGTACTAAACGGTTCCTGTATTGAGTGTTCCAACATTCAGGGCAGCGGGGAGGTAAAGCTAACGTTGCAAATGTCTCATGAATAAGCGCATTTGATGACCGCATTCCACATAAAATATTTACGTTACATGGTTCCGTTTGTAAAGCTGTTGAAGAAGATCCAGATAATAACATATACGTCTCGTGTTACTATTGAATAACGTGTCTTCATTGTGCAATTGGGTCACGGTGAATTTTTTTCATTTGCCCGCCAAGTGGTTAATCAACATTTGCGTTATAATGTCATATAAATGGTGAGGTCAGTAGAGTTCAGCTAGAAAGAGCGCTACCGGGACTTCCAGATGGTCCCGAATGTGTCACAGTGTGATTAATGCAATGACATTCACATACTACGCCTATGTTTTAGATGCGTTGTACTTCTACTTACTATCAGCCTCACAAACAAAAACTCATCATACTTCTTTGTAACGAAAAATTTTTGAAATATAACTTTGCTTTTTCATGTAGAAATTTTTCCAAACAAATTTAGCGATTTTGGGGGATTTTTGTCGCAAATATATATGGAAAGGTTTATTGTTTATTATTATTACTGATATTGTATTGTTTTATTATGCTGCTATACACATTGTTTATATCACCTAAATTTAATAGAAAAAAAACAGGATAAGACCTAGACTGGCAAAGTCAGGGATTTCTTTCGCGATCACGCTAAAAGGACTTATTAATTATATCTTTTTGTAAAACAAAAAAAGAAGTCCCGACTTTGCCAGTCTAGATAAGACCTTGGACGCCGTGCTATGTGCGAACGTGAGAGGCAACACCACATATTTGTATCAAAGTTTCCCGCTCAAGTTCAGAATCCCCACGAGGGTATAAACATGTAAGGACTCAATGTATCTGATTTATGGCTTTTCTATGTTATGTCATAGACCTTTATGTTTTCTAAGGTCTATGGTTATGTTCACATGCTTCAAATAAACAACTAGTTATACGCTATTAAGTATGTGTCGCTATTAAGTATGTGTCGTGTCTGACTGCTGGACATCTGGTTTTTATAAAAGAGAGAGACTGTGTACAGTTGATTAAAATTACTGGGCTCCCTGTATTTATACTTTCACTTTTATTTTTACAGATGCCTAACAGACGGCATGTAGATATGGTGCGACAGTTTGACATGATTCCCTAATATTTCCTCAAATATAACCAGTGCTGATTTCTCAATATCAAAAAAAATGTAAAAAAAAAAATGTATCATCTTTGCTCGAATCCACTCTGAATTTGTTGGTGATCCGCTCCGCTAGGATTGCCCTTAAAATCACTTTTGTGTGTGTGTGATTTCCAGTGTTTTCACGTATTAATTCTTCTGTGATTTTTTTGGTTTGGCTGATTTTGTTCATACTTGACAGGTAGGTCGTACCATCACTAATTGGAAAAACATCCTGGCCCACCACTGTCATTGCAACAGCCAAAAACTGATTTTTTAATACTTTTGTCCCAAATTTATTACCTCCTACCAGTTTTGTAATAACAGTGTTCAAATGATCATGCTTATTATTTTGGCTACGTTGCGCACTGGTAAGAGATCACCGGCATCGACATTGTTACACTGTATAAACGTAATCCCAACGCAGCTTTGAACTTCGAATGAAGTGTAAATGCTGCCTTCATTCTAGAAAATATATCGCATAACGGTCGGAAATAATAAATGTAACAGAACATGTCCTAGTAATAAACTAAGTGTCTTCTAAAGACTGAATGGTTTTTGCGAACTTCGTATAACTATTCAGTTATATAAACTGACGTTAGCTTCACGTTCATGTCCTAACGTGGAAACAGCCGAAACGTGTTGCTAGTTTTTTTACCAGCTTACCGGCTATCCCATCAAACGCCACCATTCACGCACTTGTCCTCGTCTTGTCCTCGCTTTTCAACAGAAAGTGAACCTTTATTTAGTAACTGTGATTTGTCGTTTTTTTTTAGATTATTTCATTGATCACTATAATTAAATGTTTAGAATGTCAAAATATGTTTGCTTTTTATTTTAATTTTGAATGTTTTTATTTTACTCAGACGATCGATGAAATAAGTCCAGACCAACCCCATTGTAGTTCTTTCTAACTTCTTACCAACTCAAATACTGCCCAGTGCTGGGGACCAGCGACAGTGTACAAACGAGCCAGCCATTTCACATTGTTTTGTTGCAGAGTATTTTAGACTGTGTTGGTTGAGTGTAAGATTCAGTTTTGGAGTATAATAACTCAAGCTACATGCTAAGCGGGTTTGATAATTATGGGACAATGGGTTCAAATAATTGTAAATATCATGTACAAAATATTTATTGCTGAGATCAAAGACAAACAACAGGTTTGTAACTTGAAAAAATGTCTAGTATTCTTAGTTTTGGAAAATAGGAGCAGCATGGGAATACGAATCAGAGAAAGTGATGAGGCGTACTATTTTTTTCTGATATAATGGTTGAAGTAGAGTAGCATATGTATTACCCCAGATTTCCAGGCAATATGTAATGTGTGGTAGAATTAAAGAGTTGTACATGTATAAGAGAAGAAGAATATTTCTAGGTACAAATGACGTATTTGTTTAATTCAATTTTTGGTGCAATAACTTTGCAAATTTTATCAATGTGAGCTTTCCATGACATATTCTGGTCAATAGAGACGCCAAGGTAATTGACAACATATACGCCCTCTATCGGTGACCTGTTAATATCCAGTCTGCCCTTAGTAGTGACTGATCGTTGTGGTGTTTTAATTATCATGTAATTTGTTTTTTCAGGATTAATAGTAAGTTTGTTAGCACTGCACCATTCACGAACCCTTTGAAAGTCATTATTAATTTCTGAGAGATTGATTTTATTGTTTTGAGTCGAAAATGAAAGGAATTGGTAGAATTCATTAATATATATTAAAAATAAGATTGGGCCTAGAATCGACCTTTGGAACCTCTATACCATAGTGTTCTAGTTTACAGCACAGAATTTCATGATTAATGGTGTCAAAAGCTTTTTTGAGATCGATGAAATTACCAAAGGTGATATGGCCAAGGTCTAGTTTGTCAGCTATGTCTGACACAAGGTCAGCCAAGGCAAGTTTTGTATTGTGTTTTTTCGGAAGCCAAATTGAGTATCAGTGAGTATGGATTTTTTCTCAAGATATGTAATTAATTGCTTATTAACGATTGATTTGCATACTTTGCTCAAAATAGGTAGAATAGATATTGGGCGGTAGTTGTTGACATCATTTGCGGAACCTTTTTTATAAATGGGAATGACCTTCGCTATTTTAAGAGCATTAGGAAATATACCTTGGCGAATTGAACAATTGATAATGTGGGCAAGGGGGTGAGAAATGATATGGCTAGCATGCTTGACAATTTTAGGGGGGACACCATCATGTCCTACTGATTTTCCAGGATCTAGGGCAGTGATTTCATTGAATATATCGCTCTCATTTACAGGACGAAAATAAAAAGAGTCACGATAATTGCCAGTTAAATATTCAGTATTAAAAGTCGCCCGGGCAGTATAGTTACCCGCGAGTTTTGATCCGATATTGGTGAAAAAATGGTTAAACTCTTCAACAATATCTGGTGTTTCTGTCAGGGTTTTTTCACAGGGCAACTAACTAAACAAATTTAAAGTGCGTACCTTAATTCAGTAGATTTGTTTCCACTAAATTTTTGTTACCTGTGGTGCAATGGCATATTAAATTTCACAGTACTGTAAAATACTTTATTTTAGCTAGAATTAATTTTTGCTGAAAAGACTTTTTGGTGATTTTTGATGAGTTGAATATGAAATATACATAATTTGTTGTAAGCATTTTGACTGTAGAAGACTTGGTGGTGCAAGCAAGTTGAAAACAGGTACTATCCAGCTGCGGCTGTTTTCTTGATTTATTCGGGCTCACTATTTTTCATTGTTTTCTTTCTGGCCTTTGGACTTAAAAAAAGTACAAAATAGAAATAGAGAGCCAAAGAAAATCGCCTAAAACACGTCAAAAATCCGCCGGAGCCGAACCTCTGCTTAGAAAGTAGCAATTCAAGTCCTGTTTGCCACCCTCGTAGGCCGTATGGGCATATATTTACTAATTTTTTGGAACATAGGGATTTCGGAACATTTTGGATCATAGGGTATGAACCATTGAAGCCATCCACCAAGTTACATGGTCCACACAATGTTGCAACACACTAAACAAAAAAGCAACATATTTTACATGCCCTGAAAACTACAGTAACCCAGTTTTATTTTGAGAGCAGTTGCAATGTTATTTAGTTGCTTAAAACACCCTCAAGCAATCAAACCAAATCAATCAAACAGGTTGGTAACTTGGTTTCCTTATTCTTTTCCTACATGCATACAAATACTGTACTACCGGGTACATATACATTTTGTATACACACATATATATATATACATGTATATATATTTGACATTATAAATATTCTGTTCTTTCAGCTTTTAATCTCTATCAGATTTATAATATGGGTGTAATCTGAATGTACATGGTTCAATCATTAAATTTAATTAGATACACATGTAGCACTCAACTCTGAGATGCCAACCTATGCTATATTCAATATTCATATCAACACTCAGAGACAAAATAAAGTCATGATCAGTGGCTGGGATAATTGAAATTGACCAATGCATTGATTTCAAGATTCCCATTTCACCATTTATTTGGGTTTTCATCACTCAAATTACTGAACATGATTCCCAAGAATTACAGTCAATGTTTGTCCGGACTCGAATGATTGTGTTGAATGGCAGACGTCAGTACCAACGCCATCATAAACTCAGTATTTGTAAACAAATGTCGATCAACATTGTGGTACATGGCTAATCAAATTTATTACCA